TTGTTCCATGGAGAGGAGACGCCTGAGAGGCGACATGATTGAAACCTTCAAAATAATGAAGGGACTGACTGGACTAGAAGCCGAAAGCCTGTTTACCCGAGCACCGCTCGAGTCAACCAGGGGCATCATTTTAAGTTTATGAAGCCCAGGAGCCGACTTAACCTTAGGTATAACTTCTTCACGAGTAGAGTGATAGATGAGTGGAATCAGCTACCATCTTCAGTAATAGACTGTAGGATAGTCGACGAGTTCAAAAGGCAGCTAGATGGGGTCTGGACGAGCCTGTATCCAGAGATCTTGTAGGGTACCTGCTATTGACAGTAGGTGTCTATGCTGCACTTTTTTTAACTAACCTCCCTTTGCAGGTACGGATGCGTCAAGGGAGACAGTTCGAAATGAAGAAATCGGCTGTGGTCAAACGGTCGACAAGAATTCGAAGCTCCAGAAGACGTGTTTCCGACTGGAGCAAGAATCTGGACGCTCGATAGGCGAAAGCCTTTACTGTCCTGTGCAACCTGACCTGACCTGACCTGCCCTGTCTTGTCCTGTCCTAACGGTCTCAAGGTCGTTTTGCTTTACGTGAACGATTTGGCGGGATGTTCCCATTTGTGCGTTGCTCGCCATTAGCCTGATGATGCTCAATTATCCCGGGTGCTTGCTGAAACCCCGGTCTGAAATTTGGTTCACAAGACATTTATTTTCAAGATTCAGTTGAATTTACTTCACAGGAACCATGGATTACAGCAATAACAGTTTGGACCCTGAGGTTCTTGACTTCTATTGTCCCAACCGGTCAAAGAATGTGCGTTGTCATACCCATCACCATACTCACCAGCATCAAGCCCCTCGGGGACATACACAACAAACAGGTCAACCACATGCTCATGGTTCATACAAACCTGGATATGGGCCTACCGCACCCCATCATGCTGGGCCCGCGACTTTAGATGCTGGCAAAGCTTACCGTGCAGTGGGATCGCAACCAGTTGCTAGCTCAGATCACTTCCACCATCACGCACAAAGATATAGGTCGTCTGTGAGCCCGGTGCAAACACTTTCGAGCGCTTGTGGGAGCAGCGCTAGCACATTGACCTCGTCCAGCGGTATATGTCGAACGGGTTCAGGTACTAGCGCCGTCGGAAGTTCTCATTCAGGTCATAAGTCAGTCACCAGCTTACGCGCTATTGATTTGCTGAAGCTGTTGAGGGAGAAAATAGCACTTCTGCCCGGTGGTCGTTCTCGCCAGGGAGGACCCATTTTGTGTTTCCCATCCAATTCACGAGCTGATGAAATTGCCTTTGACGATTTGTGCATGTTGGTACTGTATTTAACTTTCCTACCCGAGGACCGAGTAAAAAAACTGGGGTTTACAGTGATTGTGGATATGCGCAATGGCACGACATGGCACAGCGTCAAACCCATTTTGAAAGTAAGTTGTGTTGGGTGTTCTCGTTGTGTTAGATGATTATATCCACCAGATGAACTGTTTTTTGCCTCAAAGGTCTTTATGCTTGAGATTACCGTCACGTTTATAAAGTAATGGGCTGGTTTTTCAATCAGACTGAACCCCCTAGCCGAGGGAATTGAGTTATTGGCGAGATAAATATAGGATATTGTTCACTTGTATATCACATTCCGTAAACTCCATTTGGTCGTGTTTTCCAACGGGCAGTCATATAAATCACCAAAAAATGCTTTCTTATTAGCGGTATAAAAAACCTGCTACCAGTTGATGGATATAT